CAGAGGTTTAGGAATTGGTTGAGAGGTGATAAAATCTCACCTCGAGTTTGCTCGGATATTTCACCCATTTCGATCACTGGTGTGCGGCGACTGACGTTGATTTTCACGAGACCTTGAGGGATCTCGTCATTCTGGAGCAAATTCAAAAATAATGTACGCGGGAGGAGCACATTGGCGGTGAACATCAGGAGAGGCACGCAGTCAGGACAGCTGCTGAAGCCGGCTGCATTAGCAGATGCTATGTTTTGACACGTGGGGGAGGTGCTGCGTACAAGGCAGTGACAAAAGAAATTCCTCGGGTATGGTACCTTCATTCACACCAACCGCCAACTTCCGGTTCAAGCTCGCATGTTAGAGCTTTTCAGTTCAGAACCGGTCTTCGGTTTAGCTCTGGGCTCTTTCACAGCTGCCCAGAGTCGCACAGGTGCTGCGTCCATTGGCGTCATCGTTTGCGTCATGACGTAAGACGTTTGGCGTGGCTGCTTCATAAAGCACCAAAACGCCAAACGCAGCCTCACCAGCTGACACCGACAACTACACCAATGGCTGTTGTGCTACCAGCTTCCTCTGTTACGGTCTCTGAAGACCAGATTACAACCAGTAGGTACTGGTCTCTTCAGTGACCACGCTGCTGTTATGTTTCTCCATCGTTGTGTAAAAGTGGATAAAACGCCGGCTTATTTGTTGTTGTTCAGGAGTTGATCCCGCCCCTGCCCTGCCCTGCCCCGCCTCGACGTAAGCGTGCATTATGTGGGGCTTTTGCTCTGGCAGTGACCAATTTTTGGTCTCGAAATGAAACCGGATTCCGGAGCTACAGAGGCTGCTCGAACTGCTGGCGGTGTGATACAGGATAACCTGGTGTTAGCTTTCCAAGCCTCCAGTCTTCCGAACGGCGCCTGCATGAACACAGTTGGTCGCCTGAATGAGGATATGGGAGCGTGGGGTCTGGATGTCACAGTAAGACCTGCTGTCAAAAGGGCAAGAGAGTGGGTATGTACGTGGTGCACGTGAGCCTGATAATGAGTGTAATTACTGTCATGAGCAAGGGTACTGGAGAAAAGACTTCTGCTATGGCATTTAGGGCTAAAGCTGAGCAGGAAGGGACTAGTGGTAGTCCCCAGGCATGCAATGTTCGTGGCATCCTGTCGGCTGGCAGCAGGTGACTGGCGACGTTTTAGACAGTGAGTTGAAAACCGCACAGGGGGTCTAGTTCTGAACTGTGCAGCTTATTTGACTTTCATAACTGGAGGGTTTTGTTTCTTCTGGTGGGGGCGCGATGAGAAGGTGCGGGTGAAGGATATTGCGCGACACCGCGATCATTTGATTTCGTTCGTTTTGGCATCTGCCTTACCGTTTTCAGAGGACACATACATGGGGTTGTTCATTCCGATACTTGGAATGGGATTAAATGTTCTTCAGGTACCTCTCCATAAAATGATGCTGGTTTCAGATCTGTTCAAGGGTGAGGTGGCGGTTGGCGTGCGGCCGGCTCTGCCCGTAGATGGGGTTACGATGGTCCTGGGTAATGACCTAGCGGGGAGTCGGGTGTGAGCTGATGTGGCACCTCCTGCTGTCGTGACCCCAGTGCCCCTGGTTAGCAGCAGGAAGCCTGACGTGTTTACAGTGTGCTGTGACACGTGCAAGGAAGCACGTGCAGACGGAAAACATGAATGCAGTGGAAATCAGTAACACCCCACAAAAGCATAATTTGACATGTCCTGAGGTCCCTTGGTCTGTTTCTCACGGTGAGCTCCTGGAGGGGCAGCGGGCTGATGCGTCTCTGAAGGGTCTAAGGGAGAGTTCTCTTCGTGGTGGTGGGGTGAAAAGTCGTTCTCAGGGGTATTCGCTTCAGGAGAATGTTCTGATGGGGAACTGGGTGCCTAAAAAATGTAACACGCTATAGTTAGCTGAACTAGTCAGTGACTTATTTTTCATTTATATTTTTCGTAGTTGTGGGCACTATGTTCTTTGTAAGGTATTTCGTTTATGTGTAGGTGGCATACGGGTGTTTAATTTAGGTGCCAGGGTTCCGTTGGGGACCCTGACTTTATGGGGGGTGCTGTGACGGCCCCAGAGCCTGGGGCCTGTGAGTGTGCAGGTGTGTTGCAGGTCCTGCGATGGGGGTGGAGCCAATCAGCATGACCGGGGACACCTGGCCGGAGCCGAGGTGCTACTTAAGCCCAGCTGCCCGGAGTCACAGGGCCGTCATGACTCTCTCCAAGCCTGCTGCAGGAGGACTCTCGTCATGGTCCTGTCCCCTCGCCCATCCTCTCCTGCTTCCGGTGTTGCGTTTGGAACGATCACAAATGAAGTGCCGTGGTTTTTGGAACCCTTGAACGTCTCTCTCTGTTTGTCTGTCGTGGCCTACGGGCCGGTCATAACAACCGGGGGCTCGTCTATCGTGAGTATGAACCGGGAGTTAGCTGGGTTGTTTTGGCGTTAGCTGTACCTGAATTAGCCTGTGTTTGTGGCTAGTTGGTAGCCCGAGTTTTTTTGTTGTTGGGGGAAGCGGGTGCAAGGGGGCACGCATCGCCCATGTGAATGTGAAAGCATATAAGGTAGAGGCAGGAGGTGAGTAGCTTAGACATTTGAATCATAGAGAAACAGCTAGAAAAGCACTCTCCAAAATCTGACTTCAATACTTCTTTAATGCTGAATTACTTTGAAATGTAGAACTGTGTCTTCTAATCCCACAACCATGTCATGTTTTACCCTGTTTTTCTTTATTTGTGAACCTAGTCTGGTTCCTCCAGCCTCCTTCAGGCGGAGAAGCCATCATTTATACCGGCCGCGGGGCAGCTGTGCTTTGAAAGCCCAATGTCCACTGCAGTGTTCACGGCCTGCATGTAAACAGCAGGTGTAACGCATGAACACACACTAGCCACACATGCATGCTCGCGTAACCTATATAGTGCAAACACGGACAGACAAACATGCACAATTGAACACAACCTCAAACAAACCATTAATGGGGTATTATCTATGGTACATTAGAGAGACACACACACACACACACACACACACACACACACACACACACACACACACACACACACACACACACACACACACACACAGTGAAAGTGCTGAGGTTCCCTTCAACTTCACACGGCATTATAAAACTCCACTTCACTAGAGTACCAAACAAAGCAGTCGTTAAAAGTGAAAGCACCCAGTTGGTTACCTCCCACCACCAAAAAACACAAGCACACACACACACACAACACACACACACACACACACACACACACACACACACACCTTTAATGGCATCTTTTCTGCGGCACATTAGCCATTGTGTGGTAATTAATGGGAGAGTCATGGTGTTCAAAAAGCCAGTCTTCTCTCTGCAGACTAAGAGCTGTACAGCGCAACAATGGCTTAATGAGTAAACACACCGCGTGTCTCATGAATAAATTATTTGTGCCTAGCAATTAATTTTCCCTATTGAAGTTTGGAGAACAAGCAGGACTTCATAAATCAAAAATGGGAGGGTGTTGGGAGAGAGGACATGACGGCCACTTTTGGTGTGTGTGCCTAGGCAAGACCCTATCTAACGTGTTTATTATCCGTGCAATGTTATCTGTGTGTGTGCGCAATTGTTAGGTCCGAGTTTACACTTGGTATATTAAAGTTTTTTTTTCTTGTTGTTATTTATTGTTTACACCAATAAATGTTTGTTTCAATGTGTCAGCTGGTGTCTGAATGTACATTTGTGTGTGTGTGTTAGTATGATGTTTGAAAAACGTACCGAAAGGAGCTTCCACGTTATGGGTCGGACTTGTCGTGGGATTCCAGACCAGCTGAGTTTCCGTAGCTCCTCTGTAAAACAAGAACACAAATACATGAGGGGCCATTTTAGATGAATTATTCTATCAATCATTTGGGGGTATACAAACTTATTTGTGTCAAAAAAATGGTGGTTGCCAACAAGGGGGCTGTAAGAAACTACTTAATGTCATCACACCGAGCATTAGCCGCCTTTAGCTTAGCGGTGGTTAGCTTTTTACTTCTAATGATTGAATTTACGCTTCAAAAATCACAAAGTGGTGTTATTATGTGGAGATTATCTTGCTAAACAAGACAAGTAAGTATCATAAATGTGTGTTTGCCACAGAGAGATCGTTTTCTGCAATATACCGAAATGTCAAGGGAGCCTTTGAGATGCTCACTTAGGGAATCCAAATCGAAGGCAATATCTAGTCTCATTCCTATCACTAAATCAATATAAAATCTATATTTTAGCAAGCACTATTTCATGATCATAAATACAGCTTTACAGCGATTTAAGGCTTCGAATTCCAATGAAACAAAGTCCAATATAAACAGTTACCAAACCATTATTGGATCACGGATAAGTCTTTCTTGGACATCTTTCAATAAATCCAATAGCCAACCAACCATGTCCTCACTGTCCAAACTTCCCCTCCTCTTCATCTCTTTTACTTCACTGAAATCATCTAATGGGTTTGAAGTGGATTATTAAAAAGATTCTCTGGCGGGCTGTAATGTCAGATAAATCTGATGGAGAGGTTTAAATTGAACTTTTAGATTGGCGGAGTAGTTCCCGCTGGGTCCATGAAGACCCAGAAAATATGGCCTAATGTTCGGTGCTACACAGGCAGACAATTGTCCTGTCTTTCTCTCGAACACACGATTATCCAAAGTATCACATTTTTGGTGATCCTAGATAACAATTAGACTATCTTTAATGTGAAGGGTATCATTTCCTTTCAGCCAAAGATCATTTTTGAAATACATAAAGCTATTGTTTGCTCTGTTACACAATATTTACCAATCTGATGGATATTCTGATCCACAGTAAGTGTTTTTTTTGTCAAAATGTATTTCATTTTCAACCTCTTTTGGATAATAGACATGATATTTCCTTCCCATCATATATTCTTCCCATAAATAACTGTTCTGAAGGAGAGTTAAATCACCAAATGAACTGTCTACCAAGACTAGGCAGTTAAGGATATCTATGTGTGCGTTCCTTCAGCAGTGTTTCTTAAAAAGCAGGAGTTTTCAGGATGAGTTCTCTCTAACATTAACTCATCCATTATTCACAGATATACCCTCCTCTGCCGGGGCCCTGCAAATCTACAAACCCCCGATTAGCATTCGACGAGACAAGTTGCCGCAGCCAAACTCAGGCAAATCTTAAAACGCAATAGAAATCTCTTTGCTTGTAATTGCTCCGCCGCTATTTTACCTGCATTCCAAGAGTGAAGGCAGGAGGGGAAATTGATTTCCGTGCAAATTAAATGGCACTGCCTTAATATACTTTTCTTGGGAAAAAAAAGAAACAACTGTACCTAATGAATAAGCCAAAGTCTTCTTCGACTCTTATTCAAGGCACAGGCTGGAAATTGATAAGCCCTTCGCGCGGAGAGAACGATATTGATTAGTGCTGCCAAATGACTCTGCCGTGCCTGTTCTTCAAGGTAAATGCAATGGAGAGTCAGAGACAGATCGCAGGATAGGAAATAACAATCAGCTAAACAGCAATGGGCTAAGTCCATTGGCTAAATTGAGTGAAACGCATTAGAGCTGAAGGGAGAAGCTATTCATTCACTATAGTTCCTGTGCATCTTCCACTCGAAATGTTCCCCTTACCTTGTCCCCGGTGAATTTAATTATAGAGAAATTCAATACAGTGATTTAGTGTAAGGCACGGCTGTTGGTTCAGAGGGAGTCAGGGCCCTACGGTATGGGAAGGTTTTTGATTATACCAAGGTTGCGTGTGCAGCAGCAAGAACAAAAAAAAGACTCTCGGACATGACACAATCCATAAAAGCTGTGTGTAAAAGCATTAGTGCAGACAAAGGAATAGCTGTTTATTAAAAGCCTTTGCCTCTCCCTTAATCTTTTCCACTGGGCCCTAAATGAAATGTGCCTGTTTGTCTGAGATTGGCCCTATAAGGCACTTAGAGGGGAAGTCCACCAATTTAACATATTAAAGCTCAATCAAAAAGGTACTGTTAATTTTGTCAGCTACTTATTTTTAATTGAATCTTAGCCCTGTGTTTAATGTTACTTTAGTTTTGTAGCTTTTTTTAATCAACGCCATCCTGAATTATAGTCAGGTTTTAGTTGCCTGAATGTAATTTCGCTCTCTTTAAAGTAAAAAAAACAAAACATTTAAGTAAAGTTTTAGTCAACCAGAGACTTCAAGCTTGTAAGTGAAATCATGGGCGTGCATTTTGAAAGCGGTGAGTCAGTGTTTAGAGTTGCATTGTAAGTATTATAAGCCACAGGTTGACGCAGAAGGGTGCATGGCATAAAATTGAAATCTCTGGTTCCTTTGCATCAATTGGATTTGATTTTTTTATTTTGTTCTTTTTGGGCAGTGACTTTATTTGAGCGATAACTCTGAAAGGGTGGACGACACATGGCACACAGTCCCAGGCCACATTTGAAACCGGGTACTATTGACCTCTTATAACAAGGACATTATAAGAGGTCAATACTATATCCATTGGAACCCTCTTTCTGCTAGTTTTCAGTTATACCGAGGAGAACTCTTTATCAAACAACCCCTTATGTTACTGACATGGAACACACAACATTGACGCCTGTGATCCTGTCTCTGCGCTCAACTCGTTTCCAGTCCCAGCGTGGTTCATTAAAATGCATCTTTTTTTTTTGCAGGCTCACGACAGACTAATTCCTGAGTCGTTGCAATTGATTGCCTTACTGCATGTCAAAGCATTTATGCATACATTTATCAAATGCGCAACTTTCACAGCTCCCTATAGCTTCAAAGTGGATTTATTTTTTACATATTTTATTCTCCGTACCTGTGTGTATCAATTTGTATGTCTCAATGCTCCCGACGACATCTATCTTTCATACATACAGAGTGGCAGCCGCAGTTTGTAGAAGGCACTTACAAAGTCCAAGACTTTGAAGGGGGGAATCATTATCCTATGTGCACCATTACATTCATTACTCTCCCAACAGCTAGTCAAGGCTGTCTCTCCTCCTGCCTCGCACCTTTTGAACCTTCATTTGCACTGTCAGACAAAGAAATGAGTCCATGAATCTTGTGGGCTCGGGCTTAATTAAACTATGTTATATTTCCCCCACCCGGCATTAATCTCACCACAGGGGGGTTACAGAGAAGAGAGGGGCGAAAGGACGTGAGTTCGCTAATCGACTTTACATTGTGATTCGGCAGTGATCTCCAGCAAGCCTCGTCCCCTTTGGTCAAACACTTTGTATTTCAGATAAGGCTGGAGAAGAAGGAATATGTGCCCTGAAGATGTTTGTATGTAGGTAGAAGTGTGCGGCAAAGGGCAAAGGTCACATATTTGTAGTATGTGGCCGACGGAACAAGCAGATGTTCTCGTCAGACTCGTACATCATCGACGGAAAAAGAGCACTCACAGCCTTTGCTCATGTCTACCAAACTCTCTCCAGCAGAGAGATGGACCACTGCAGAATCTAAATCAGTTACCGCAGCCCAGATGCTGCCGGTACTACCGATGCACTGCACTGATACAGTACATGAAAAGTCAAAGGTCATATTCTCATATTGGAATTGTTCCCGGGTAAAATGCTGATTTTAATATGTGCACATGTTATCTTTTGCATGGTATTCAAGATAATTTACCTCTGCCATTAAGGAGTTTTTTTAGCTTTGCTCTAAGCAAATGGGTAGAAACTCAAGATCTGTGCTAAAATCAGACTTAATGTAGACTTTAAAAGACCTGCTGTTTTATTTGCAGCCATTAAGCATTGGTATATGCTTGCAGTTGAGCTTCAAACGTGCAGAGTTTCACTTTTTTCCCCTTGGTGTTGTGGGAGAGAAAACTCACTCTGACGATGTAAACCTTGGGATTTGAGCCTTTACAGAATATTGACTTATTTATAAACCTATATAACAAACTAAATGAAATGGAAAACCCATTAAGACACATAATAGGGCCCCTTTAAATATCACAAATGGCTACATCTGGCATCTCTCTCTCTTTAGATCAATGTTGTTTTATGCCTAGTCCTTGTTTAATAAAGACATAATACTGTGATCCATTGGTAGAATATTCTAGTGTGCTTTATTCTAATGCAAATACTCTCATGTGTCTATATCCCTATCTCCTTAAGTCTTTATCTACAGCTACATTCATCTCCAGTGCAGTTTCAGAGGCATCATTTCAGAGAAGTAAAGCTCCAGCCCCCGCAGTGGGCTGAGACAGAGAGGGCAACATGAGCATAGTTGACGTACAGGCTAAATTGCAGATGTCGTTTCATTAGTGAGAGGCTAGCTCATCTCTCAGAAAGCATATATGGCTCTCTAGGGCATCTCTCGTGCATTCCGAATGAGACAGCTCCTGTGGAATAAATTAAAAGGCACTTCATGACATTTTTTAAATTAATCTTTGGTGTTCTTTTGGCTCGGCGGGTACTTGTCACAAAGTTGGGGTTGGGGAAGTTTTTCCGACTCTCCCGGAGGCGGCGAGGGGCTGGCTGTATCCGTCAGTTTGGGTGCGCAAAGTTAATAATGCAAACAAGCCACTTCTAACGGACACATTTGTCACTCCCTATATAAAAAGTACTTCTAATTGATGTTGTAAAAGACGTTCCTTTTTCGACGGGAACAATGCAGCGCCAACTCATTAAAGTAAAAACATCAATTTACAGTCAATTCACCCCACAGGCAATCATTTCAAAGCGTACATTTAAAAGTGCAAGCGGGGGCAAGGAAACACAGAATTTCCCTTTCGGGACCAATAAAATACCAGATTATTATATATACATGCTTGGGAATTAGAGTGATAACTATCGTGGGTGTTTATCATGCTGGCAGGTGCGGAGCTGTGGGGAAGAGTCTGAAGAGAGCTTTATTCCTCGCTGGCATTAAAACACCTGTAACATCAGCAATGTGCAACTCAAGGGCAACTGCCGCTAGCCTTTTCCTCTGTGCGTCTACTGTATTCCATTATGCATGAACTTACAGGGGTGCACTTTGTTTTGGCTGGAGTTAAGCTGGGGACCACAGGGGGTGATTAGGACACCATGTACCTTCTGTTGAACACCCCACAACAGCTGCTCTGATGTGGAACTCTCGGAGGTAATGGACGCCCAATGACTATTGAAACATTCAGAGGGCAAAATATAAATAAACATCATGTTTGTGACTTATTTAACCAGCCAAGATAACCTAATTATAATAAAACATTAAACGGTAGTGTTTTTATTTAGTTTTAGTCCTGCGTTGAAAGTCCTTTTAAGTGTTTTAATCATGTTTAGACATCACCATCCTGGTGATTTAGTCATTTTGGTCAGTATCTTTTAAATAAGGTCTGTGTTTTAAACAACGCTGAACATTAGCCGCCTTTAGCTTAGCGATGGTGATGATGAGGAGCCATGCGTCCATGATGTAGTTTGTTAATGGACTGGTGTTAGATTTTACTTCTACCGATTGATTTGACTATCTATTGGGCTCGAGGACTGGCCGAATGAGGGCTCTCAATATGAGGCAACTAGTTAAAGGAAACAAAAATCAAATAGAGTAAGTATGAGAGTGTGTATGTGATCGTAAGTGTGAATGTGATAGTGTGTTCCTTCACTTCTTCTCCCATGTCTGCCTGTCTACTTGACTGTCAGTCAGTCCACCTGCCAGTGTGCACGGTTCTGTATGAAGGCCAGTATGAAGAATGGAAGACGGCGAGAGGTGCTGTCAGTCAGTGCTGGCTGAGCAGGGAGCTGAAGGCAGCAGGAGGGCGGACGGTTGGCGGGCCGGAGCCATGCACTATTCAGGCATCATTCAGACGGAGCGCGACCACTGGGGCAAAACACCACAAGGTTCCTCGGCAAAATGCACGCACGGGAATACCACACGCACCTGCCCAAACTGGGGTTTGTATGAGAAAGCTACCTCACCAAATCCAAAATCAAAACACTGTTTGCACGAAATGTATAGTAAGATACTCAATGGTAGACTTTACTTGTAACAGAGTATTTTTCAAATGTAGTATTGCTACTTATACTAAAATCAAAGTACTTCTTCCAAGTGTTTGTTGCATTGTTTGAGGAGCCTGGAACTTTTTATATTCAGATATTCATTACCAAAACAATGCTGTAGCTATTGTGCGAATAATAATAAAGCCTTTGACAGTTGAATCCCCTGCGATACCCATGAAAGTCTTGGATAATAAAGCGATGCTGAATAGAAAGGTAAATGCCATCCCTTCTCCTCTTGTAAAAGGTGTTGTCCCTGTCTCATCGGATGCTATTTTGCCATTGAGGTCAAAAAAACAATACAATCAGGACAGACACCTTTATCATGCAGTTTATTAAAAAGTTATGCTCCCCACCTATAAACCTTGAATGCTGTGAGAGTCCTGAACGGTCTAACTCATACAGAGGACAAAGTGATGGCGCCGGGGAGCAGACGGCTCATAAACTAATGGGACTCTTGTAAAAAGATACTCCCCCCTGGATTATACCTGCTCAGGAGGCCTGATGGATGGCCCAGATGGCTGGGGGAGAGGACACCGAGCATAGATGAGCGTACAGGTGTGAGAGGGAATGTGTGCGTGATACAACACCGACTTGTAAAGTCAATTCCCAGAGGCTTTCCTTGCCGTTAACTGATTCACACGGAACAGGTTCCGAAATATGTGACCTGGTGACATTTTTTAAGAAACATGTACTATGACTTTTTTATTTATTTATTTATAAATCCTTTTATTGGACGGAACTACATTTCAGGTATTTTCGAAAACTATTCATTAATACGTGAGATGAAAAAAATGTACTTGTCTATAGAGACAGCCTCTGTCTGAAACCAGAACCCAGTCTTCTCTGATTGGACAGCCGAACGGCTCTGTTGTGATTGGTCAACCGCTTAGAGATGTCCCGCCCCTAAGCGTATCGTGTAAAATATATTGGTTTGCTAGCCAATAAAAGCGTGAGTGTTACAAAGTGATGTCACTAAGTAAACAATTGTCATTTGTAATATAATAATACAGTAATTTGCTAACTTTTTTTCTCTTTTTTGGCCTTAATGAAAGAAAAGAAAAGGGTTGTATCGCTAATGTGTGTATATTTATTATACTCTTTACGGGTCAAGTAGACCTAGCAGAATTAATCAAAACAGTGATATGTCTAATCTGGCTTGCACATAAACGCATTTTTGCTTACATAACTAAATATAGAAAATATGCTGCAGGTTTTTAATGTCCTCCCCTGGATATAAAGCATCCCGGTGCCCAGCAGAGAACAGGTGCGGACTGTAAGTGTGTTCAGTGAAGCTTCACTTACAAAAGAAAAGAGGAAAAATTCACAGGGAAGACCACCGTGTAACATCTGAATAAACTAATTCAGACAAGCTGGGAGGCTACTGACACAGAAGACAGCTGGAGATTGGACCAGCCTTATTAAGTCCGGTGTTTTGCCTGGGGACATGTAGCAAGCAGTGCACACACACACACACACACACACAAACATAAACATCCATGCACAGATGCATACATATACCAGGGACTGGTAAAAGGAACACACAGGGTGGTAAAGCAGAAACAACAAAATGCTGTGACTTCTAGATTTAGCATTTCTCACAGTAGCCACTTTCTAATAAAATAACCTACAGTGCATTCCTTTTCTTCCAACTAACTTTAGTCTAAAGCAGCTAATGCTTCTCCCAGCACTGTTTCCCAAAGATGTACCAACGTGGACAGCCATGCTGTGTTATCTCTACTTCTACACTTCCCGAGCCCGTGACACACACCCCTGAAATTGTCACACACGGACAGCGCATTCAAACGCGGCATTAGGGCCGAGTTAAATTGAATTACATCGCCACTTCCCACTTTGATGGCGGCTATTAACTTTGCAAACAGCGCTGATAGTAAGCCTATCATATGGTGGCTGCTGTGTAACAGGATTGTAGCAATGCGGGGTGTGCGGAGAGTGAACTGTGGCAGAAAGGTGGCAGGCCTCCTAACTGTAGATGCTGCAGTGAGGGGTGAGGGGAGATGGGAGTTAGGGAGAAACTTGCTGTAGTGAGGTGTAACAAAGAGCTGCAGCACCCCCAACAGAGGGGAGAGACACACACAGGCAGCAAGGCAAGTGTGTGTTATTATGGACAATTATGTTTGTGTTCTTATGTTATTTACGTTGTGGATTTCACATAAATTGACACTATAGTTTGTCAACAAGTGCGGAGGTACATGTCCGAGCTAAACTGAAAGTACAAATAAGAAGAGAAGACAAACAATAAGAGCAACTGACAGAAAAGGGAAGTAAAAGATAGAGTCAGGATGAATTACCAAGAAAGGGGAAGAGGGGAAAGGACCATTGCCATAGCAACAGCAGTTTTTCTGCCATCCAGCGATAACTGCCGGATGTCAGATCTCGGTCTTAAAATCAATTAAAAAGAAAAGAAAGATATGCAGGGAGTCCATAAATCTGACAGTGTGACTCACCGCTCATCATAGAAAGTATACATCATTAAACATAGTCTAGGGGAAAAACACATTACAAATACACTTGAACACACACTACAAATCTGCCACGTACACAACCTCATCTTGAATTGTGAACAGAGCTGTCAGAAAAAAATGGAATAGCTCAAAAGTATGAAACAGGCCTTATTATGCCTTTTTTAGTTTGTCCTTTCCTTGAACGTTGTGTTATCCCCCTGTACTGAAACGCCTCTAATTGTACGTGATATTTTAAGGGGCGGGACATCTCTAAGCGGTTGACCTATCACATCAGAGCAAACTAGGCTCTGGTTTCAGACAGAGGGTGAAAAGAGGTGCAGCACCACAGGCAGTATGAGAACATTAAAGCACTTTTTGAACACAAGGCACATAATACAAATATGAACCTGAAGATGATTTTATAATATGTCCTATTACAAATATTTAATGAATTCAAAAATATGTTAGTCCACCATACTGTCTGCACTTTTTTTTGCAAGTTTCTGGAACTATGCAAAAGAACTAGGAACTTCACTTCCCAAATGATGATTTGAAATGTGTAATTGGCTTGGTAATTGGCTTAACATTTAAGCATATTCCTCCAATCTGGCAGCTTATGTGAACATCTTCACAAAAGAATACTGTGTTGCATTAACCAGAAGTGAAACTCGTGAGTAGACGTGCTAAAAAGTCTGTTCTCTTTTCCCTCAGTATCTGAAAAGAGTCCCTGTTCAGTGTCTGAGCGTTCAGTGGGCGTTGCGTTCAGGTTCACTCAGCAGACAGGCTCGCCTCAGGACATCAGGAATAATTAGCCAAAATCAACCTGACATCAATCACTCTGCTCTCACCACACGCACAGGTCACCTTCTACACGACCTTACATGCTAAACAGGCCGCTGACACAACCTGTCGCAAGGCTCAATGGAGAGAAAGAGGAGGGGAGAGGAAGAGAGAGGGAGACTGACAGGGATGTTCAGGGTGTGGTAAAAAAAATGGTAAAACATTAGCTCGAACAAAGAGTGGGATTATAAATATGTTCTG